AAGCAACCGTCGCACACTAAACTGAACATGTCGGGAGCAACGATTGTGCGAATCTTTTCTGGGTGCCCCTCTAGACTGTCCTTGAAGTTCTTGTATGATTTGGGAAAGGAGGAAGGAATCTTGGTGAGTTGAGTCTCGGCCGTGCTGAACGTAACATGCCCTGCCGTCCTTGGCTCCACGCCTGGAGCTTGCGCTCTTGACTCGGCGGGGTTACATCGTCGGCGTAGTTGGTGTATGGCTCCATCATTGTCGGGCTGTCGTCGCTCACTGTCTCCGACCCTGTCACCAACCCGGGCGACTCGGGTTATGCTCCAGCCGCAGCGGTCTGCTCCATAGGGTGCACGACGCCGTACCCGGCAGGGGTACCGCCTGAGATCGCTGTCGAATCCCACACCACGGAGGTTTTTCTTCTATCCGGTCCTCGGGGGGAATCACCAGCATCTCTCGTCTGCACTTCTTTCGTATTCTCGGCTCTTACGCTTCGCCGCAAAATCCTGGCCACGCGGCACCAGTGTAGCGTTACTTCTGGTAAACTTTTAAAGCTTCCTTTAAGACGCAGGTGTATATAGCACTTTCTACTCCGCCGATGGTTACCGTTAGTTTGGCCACCTTTTCTTCACAGAGAATTGGTACATCAATAGTATTGCTTTCTCTTATCTTGACCATGTTACTGAAAGATGTACAGCCTGTAACAGCAACGGTTGTAACACCAGACATGTCTGATTTGGGAGCCACCTCAACAATAGTGTTTTCAGGGCAGTTGAAACATCCTGAACAACCTGTAATTACAACCTCTGACACCTCCAGCTCAGTCATTCTCTTAGTAACAATAACATCTTCCAATGTTAATAAGATATCCACATTCCCAACCAAGCTACCTTCTTTTACAACACCATGAGGGATAGGGAAAATTCCTTTAAAGTCGCCAAGGTTTTTGAGAAATCCATAAGAGTCAAAACAACAGTGATCTATTTCAACCCATCTATGTGCAGCAAAAATGCATTTATAATGTTCCTGTAACTCACAAACACAGGTGCCCACTGCGTCAGGCCTTATAGTGCATCATCTGAAAAAGAAACTCCTTTAAAGTAGCGTCATACATAACAATTAGTGAAGTCTCGTGTAAATCTTTTTACGAAGACTCACTTAAATACGTTTATTCTTTTCTATTTCTATTTTCACAGATTCATGAAAAGTCATAACCAACACTTGTGTGAAGTCACATTTTAAATAACTTTACAAGGGGATGTAAAGTATACTTGCCTTGTACGTGCCCTTCTGGCTTCAATACAGTATTTCACGTCTGCTGGTGTGGGATAAAACCTTCTATCTCCGAAGTCCTGGTGACCGTTGGTTTTCGACCACTTGTGTACACAATTCAATATTGCCATTCCTCTCTTACCCTATAACAGAGTAACTAGAATTGACAGAAGACAACAAAATTTGCATCTGGATCTTGTTATAATGTTAGTTCTAATCTCATTCTAAAATTTAATCCTACACAAGAGCTGAGTTTTGAGTTTCCACATATCATCTATAATTTTCAACTACAAGTGATGATGTTGTAAACTTCATTTAATCACATAACACAAAGTATAAAAAGGTATAAAAATACATCTAAAATATTGGGAGTTTGAAAACAATTTTTGTAGTGATTCAAACGTGATAAATGTTTCAAAACTTGATCGAATACAGAAAACTAAATTGCTATCAGACCTTTAACTATACCTGATCAATGAGTTCGTTGATGTAACATAGAAGGTCTGCATCAAGTTTGGAAACGCGTCTTTCATCTAAATTCAATGGATCATGTCCGCAGTGAGTCAAGCTATATCTGACAACACATGCTTTCTGTCCAGCTTGTTCGTCAGTGGTGAAAGAAATATAAGCCCCGCAGTCATTTGCTCGTGTTCTGTTCGGGTCTGCATTCTTGGAGATACTCCTTGTTTTCCTGCCTCTAAAATAGTGAAAAAAATATAATTATATTAACTAGATATAGAACCTACCAACTCCCAGATGAGTCAAAATTTGCGGTGTAAACAAGGAGAAACTAGTATCAAACATTGTCCTCTATGTATGACCGTGACATATATAAGACACCCAGCATTGGCGAACAACACTCCACCTTGTAATCATATATGTATTCATAAACTTTAATACAGATATTTTGAACGAGTCAGGAGTTATGGTCCAGAGAACCAGACTTGGGATAAAATACAGTTGAATGTGTAATTTGTATTTGCATTTGAAGATTTCAAACTGCAAGTATGTGCATTTGCATATAAATATTTTTGTAAGTATTTCAAATTCTTTTCAAATAATTTTTTCTTTAAAACCATATGTACCGGTACATCAAACTGATAATGTTAATTGTGCTGAAAAGGGTTATGGACTATTTGATTGACAAGTTAAAACTTGATAAGCTGTAAAGAATAAGATTCAGGTAGTAATAAAAGATCAAAAAGTGTTTTCTGGTGTTTTCATGAATTTTGTCTGACTAGTAAATTGATTAGGAGGCTTCATAATTGAATGTATGAAGGACTATTTGAAAAGTATTTGAAAAGTATTTCAAATACTTTTCAAAAGTATTTGCATTTCCACTTGAAAAATTTGAAAGTATTTGCATTTGCATTTAAATACTTTTACAAGTATTTGACCCCAAATCAACAGAGAACAATAATAAAAAACATACCCCCCTCCAATCTCAATATTAGTCACATCTGTACATGGCTTATCTATCCACTCTCTTGTACTTGCTATATATGGAGAGGGAGTTGTAGTTACATGGACATATTAACATATAAATCTTTCATATTTCTTGGTTCAAAACCAAGCAACCATACATGCATTACCTTTCACACTTGTACTGTACATGTTCTGTGTTTGACTTCGTCTTCCTTTGGCAAAAATTTCCAGATCCCCTGACGTCTAACAATTGAAGCTGGTTGAATATGATGTCCTCAAAGTCTTGTCTGGAATAAAAAAGTTTTCAATGTATTATTTATTTTGTATTTATCAAGGGTGCCTTGATAAATTAGAAACTTATAATCCATTTGATGGCTAATGTACCAGTAGTTGGCATTGAGTCGAGGTACATAAACATAACTTTTATGTTAGAACTTGTTCCAATAGACGGTGGAGCTAAAAGTCCAAGGAAATTAAAATACAAAACAAGAGCTAGCCTCTAATGGTACATAATACACATTATCGGAAAGGTGAAGAACAACAAACACATTTTGAAACATAAAACTTTTATGTTCATACCTTTCACATGCACACACCTTGCAGTTAAAATTCGATTGTTGATTATGTATGTTACCAAGAGTAGATAATAACATCTACTCTTGATTATTGATTGTTATTATCTACTCTTGATGTTACACACAGACAATGTTTCTATAAAGCTTCAAGGTTCAGAAATTACAGTTCGTACAAATATGACTGCAAATACTAGTACCCTGTCTGATCCTTGACCTTGGATCAGAATCTCAAAACAGTATGTGACATACAACCTGGTATAATACAAGTATGTATAAAGTTTTGTTATAATATACAGGATTTCAAGAACTATGACATGGGCAATATCTGACTTTTGACCTTCCTTGGAAGGTGAATACTGGAAATAGTATGCAATATGCAGTTTGGTGAACCCTGAAAACCATTATAGTTTCTTATAAAACTCTTATAATTTTCTTCTAATTATAAACTCTTATAATTTTCTTATAAAACTCTTATAATTTTCAGGGATTACCGACATGTAAACCAAAAAAACGGAGAGCACTCTGTGTGACGGGCATAGTGTTTGTGAACAAATAAATTCTGCACAAAAACGAAGAAAAAAAATTCTACAAATCTGGCAATACAATTTTTGGAGTAGGGACAGGCAAAAATTAAAAAGAGTAGATTAAATACCCATTTTCCATACGATAAACTTCAATCATTACTCCAGACTTCTTCCTGCCTTTCTTGCTATGTTTTCTCTGCATAAATGATAGGAATGGATCATCTTCTGAAAAATAAATAATAGATAATAGAAATGCATAAATGTACTGCAGATGCAACAAGACTACAGGAATATTTTATTTTCGATTGTGAAAAATATATATTGCTGAGAGTTTAAGAGTTATAAAGTGTGTGGGAAATTACTAAAGAGTTATTATCGGTACGTAGTATAGGCCTGTGACCTTGACACTTGACCTTAAAAAACTAGAACTGGCGTGATTCATACCCTCCCAAATCATCTTGTTATCATGGTTGTCAATGTTGATCAGATGCGAGCTCAACTCGTTAATATGCATGATATCAGCTGATTGTCGCATATAGTTTATATAGTCATGAAAGGTGTTTATGAAAGGTGTTCAATTCCCAGGTTGTATCAAAATCAGACCAGAAATAACCGAGTTATAGCACTAGCCATATCGACCAATCAGGTGCAAGCACAAAGGTGCAAGCGCAACTCATTAATATGCGTGGAATCAGCTGATTGTTGCATATAGTTTATATATTCATGAAAGATGTTCAAATACCAAATTGTATCTAAATAACCGAATTATAGCAGCAGCCATATGGACGCGACGTGACGTGACTGGACGTGACAAGGTGATTCCTATATACCCCCAATATATATATATATATATATGGTGGGGGTATAACACTAGGGCTTGTCTTCTCACCATAAGGATTATGTGTGTCAGGTTTGATAATCCTAGGTGTAATGTTTCGTTCTATATCTTGTCCACAAGATTTCGGAAGCACGCACGGACAGAAAACAGCATTTCAATATCCCCTCCTGCTACTTTGTAGCGAGGAGGAAAAAATATTTTGTGTCAGTGATTGGGAAGGGTAGGGGGGGGGGCCGGGCCTTTTAACACATTGTGGTTGAAATGACCCCAATGAAGTGGAGAAAACTTACAGGACTTGTATAAAAGGAGCTAGGATCCATTAATATTCTGTAAATCCTTCACAAAATAATAAAAATAATAAAAAAGCTTTTCCAATCATTGATCATCTGATGTGTACATGTGTTTACGTATCTAAAATTCTTAGTGAGTTTACCTGTTGTAGTGAAAGAGGATACGCTGACCAAGTTGGGCATGATGGTATTGGAAGTTGGAGTATTCAAACTCTGTAACTTCTCTTCAATATTTGCTGCTTCCACATCGGACACTGGCGCAAGGCTTTGTGAATCAGGAATGGAAATGGAGTGTTCTGAAAATAAATCTGATAAGAAATAAGACAAGTTTATTATTCTACTTATCATCTGACATAATAATATAAATAATACCTGCAAAGGGCTACAAACATTATGGGATGCACAATGACTTCTGAATTTTTACATTTACTATAAAAAAGGCAATGTTCAAGACACGTCTCGCAAGCATGATAACTCGTCACTAGTTTAGCGTTATGTCGCAATACGCAGGCAGACGTTGTCACATTAATCTGTTGTGTTATTACACAAGTGTAATAACAAAAAGTGTGTATGCGATTATGTTATTTGTCTACATATTACTGTATCTGATGATAAACAAGGGCACCGCAAAGCGGGCCGGGCATTCCCTCGCAATATGGGTTCGGGTACCATTTGATAATCCTAGGTCTAACAGTTCTTTCTCTATCTCGTCCACAAGGTCCCCCCGGATTTCTGAGCGTCGGAAAAAAGACAAATTTTGAACGAGTATATATAACCCCGTAAAACTACTCAGTAAGAATTACTAGACTTTCGAATCCTACGTTAGATATGTGGCTTATAATGTTTGCTCACTCCTTCCAATTTTTCTGTATATAATATGTATATCAACGTAATTTCAACAGTTAAGAGCTACATACGTGGAGTAAATTTCTGCCGTGTATATAGCCGATCCACTGTGGCGTGGCTATATACCACTTGTCTATATATACACTAGTATATTCACGTTTGTCACAAGCTGTCTATATACACGGTGCCGTGTATATAGCAACGGCCTTTTTAATTACGACAGCTGAAAAAGCAACTCCGTCTATTTCGTCTTGTGCTTGTATATTTCTTGGCGGAAAAGATCAAGGCAAAAATGAAGTAAACACGGAACCCAGGTGAATAATACATGGAATCGTTGAGTTTATATTTATACTAAAAGGCAATTAGAGTAAGTTTAACACAAAGGCAATTAGATCAATGGCTTCACATTGTACACACTATAAATTAGTACTTACTAAGTTTGATATATCCGTATGGAAGGCCGATAAAAATGAATGGATGGACTAAAAATAGTAAAATGACACCGGGCGAGGGCGGATCTGGGTGGGGTGACACAGATTCCTCACTCTCAGATGTTGGATGATATGCCTAGTAGGCCTAGTAGTCCTATTACAACTTGGTAGTCATTTCATAAAGGTAGTCTCTGATATTTGATGATATACCTTGTAGTCATCAGTCATATTACAACTTTGATATTCCTAGTAGGCATATTACAACTTGGTAGTCATTTCATATAGTCTCTGTTTTTGAACGATATGCTTAACGTTAGTAGTCGTATTAGTATACTAGACTGACAGCAGGGTAAAAAACTGATAATTGGAGGCACTGGTCCAGCAGGACCAGTGTCGCTGAGGAAGTACTGGTCCTGGTCAGTAGGCACTGGTCCAGGATTTCTGTCGTAGCAAAGTGAATGACTCGGATGTGGGGACGTTTTTATAGAGGGGGATGGTGCAATTTGGTGTTGTGCATTCTAAGGTATTCTTAGAAATTATTAGTGTCGCTACCACCACAGACTGGAAGGCTGGATAGCAGATGGAGGAGGAGGAGGAGGATAGTGTCGCTACCACCACAGACTGGAAGGCTGGATAGAAGATGGAGGAGGAGGAGGAGGAGGAGGAGAACCTACGCCACTCGTCGCTGCAGGACACCGTATGCCAGGTAAGCGCCCCCTGGTGCCTCGCGCCTAACTAACGTGCGTGTTGATGATGCATTTGAGCAAAATCCGAATCTTTTTGGAACGGGAAAGTTTTAATGTTTTTCGAGTTGTACGTTGCTCTCATGTTTATATGTTTTGAATATGTTTTAAATATGGCCGTGGCTACGCCGGGTACCGGACGCCCAGCTCCCAGGCTACGCATCCGGTCATATATTTATTATGTGAACCCAACTATATTTTTTCAGTAAATAATACAAAGTTTTTACCATAATATTATTTACCTTTAGGTATTTTATCAAAAAAAATGTGTTTTTGTAACTTTTGAAGCAATAGTAAATCCAGTAAAATCAACGATTTGAAAGGGGGCGTGGCCTAATCGGGACGTGGATTTGGGAATCTGTGCTGGGCTTTGTAATGGATGACAGGACGCGTAGCCACTGCGTTTAAATATACACATGCGCGTACTATGTAGCGGTTAGTATATATTGTTATGTAGAGTTGTTCCGTTGATAGTTTTATGCGACGATAGATGGCGCTGGCGTGCGTGTTGTGAGGGGAGAAGTGACGCGGGAGAAGGAGAGAAAGTCGTGTTTGCAAATCAATGTGTGTTTGTGAAAGAATATATAAGTTTTAACTGCATTTGGAGTGTTGCTGTTATTGGAAATACTTGCGTGAGCGTTCGACAACCACAAGACAGGGGCCTGAACCCCGAGGTACTGGTATTTGTACTGATAATAGTGATAAGACACGTTTAAAGTACCGGTAACATTTGGCGCCCAACGTGGGGCCCCTGAATAGAATAACAGCATGTCGAACTTAGGAACGATTGCGTCCGTGTCTCTTTGGTAATTCAGGTTTCCGCTGTCTCCTCCAATGTCAGTCACGGTACGATTCTCAAGAAAACCTGCTCGTGGGTACTCAGACCTGCTCTTTAGAGTCATAAAACTAAACTCAATAGTTTTCGGAATTAATTTGTCTACGCAAGTCAACCATGCTCCATTTCCACAGCCGAGAAACAGGATTTTTCCTGGATCCTCAAGCTTAGGGAGCCTCCCGCGTTCACCGAGCCAACCCTTGAATTGTCGCACTCCTCCGGTCTCAGCCATACCAAAAAGCCTCACTGAACTTTTTGCAACCTTAACCGGGACAATCGTTCTAGTCTTACCTTCCATCACCACCTTATCTCTTGCGTTCTGCATCTTTGAGACAAGTGGGAGTCCAGTAAAGACAGTTTTAATTGCCCAGTAGTTTCCCTCAAAAGCTTCAGGAGTGAGCATTTTGTTAGCTAACAGCCCGGTAGCCGTTCCAAGTGCCAACAACTGTGCTCCTTTAACAGCTACAGAGGAACACCACTCACCTCCCCCTAGGCTGAATAGCAACTCTCTCCATTCTGCAGGGTAGTATGTAGGGGAGTCTCCTGCTATATTTTCGGTCTCACCTTTGCGAAACTTGCCGAGTAACCCACTGTCAGATAAGTTCCATGCCAGTAGTATCATTAACACAGAAACTGGTTGTACACAAATCCAGAGTAGGTCCTCTATCCATGGCTGTTCGAGCGGAGGTATCACCAAGTCTCCAAGATCTTTTTGCTCACCTTTAGCAAGTGTGCTGGTTATATTACCACTCAGGTCATTTCTGACAGCACCTTGCTGTACCCTCAAGAGGACATCACCACTTTCTCTATCACGTTTCTTGAGCTTCTCAACGAATGCTAGGCCTATGATGTATCCAGCAACAAGCATTACTGTACTGATGATATCAAAACCGATCCCAACTCCGATGTTAACTTTTCCTTGGGACAGAAGACCAGTATTTAATGGTTGTCTTCCAAGAATTCCTACACCAAGTCCGACCTGTTTGGCCCTCTCAGTTGGCGTGTATCCTCTTTTGGCCAGTTTGAAGCCAACCATACTGCCTCGTAGACCGCTCATAATCATCTCAAGTCCAGTAGTGTCCGCATTGGTCGTTTCTACCTTGGCTTCAACCACTTTTTCTTTTCTGGTGGTTGGCACTCCATATATCCTATCAAGCATCTTGATAGCAATGGGCACTGCCAATACCTTCCTCGTGAGAATTGCTGCTCTGAAGCCCACCTCAGCTATTGCAGACGCCCACCATGGAGTATCGGCGTGCTGCAGGGGTCCAGTTAGCTGTTCATCTTCTATCTTTTTAGAGACTAGGCCAATCACACCTCCCACAACCATTCCTATACCAATTCCGATTAATGCCGCGTGAGCCACGTTGAGTTCATGCCTGGCTTTGAGCAGACAAAGCCCACTTCCGGAAATTAAGGCTACGGTGCTAGGTAACCTCTTGCCGCATTCCATACCTATGGCTCCAGCCATCAAGAAGCAAGGACCAAATTTACTCCTTATGTAAGTCAGTCCGTATGCTCCTGTACACGAGGCTTCTTCCTTGAGGACTTCTTTCCAGTCTCCATCCCACCCAGTTTCAATGACCACTTCTTTTGGTATTGTTTTCTCTTGGTGTACCTCTTTATCATCACTGTGATCACGTTTTGGCACTTCAAGGTGTCTAATCTTTTGCTCAAGGATGGTCTCAATTTTCTGCTTGACAATGCTTAGTCCCTTGGGTCTTCCAGTATTCTTGTACAGGTACATGAAGATCTCTCCTTGGTAGATGCTTCCACCTATTATCTCACTGTCATAGCCTCTATGCCTTCCCATAATATGCAACGTCATGACAGCGTCCATATTTCTCACTCTCGTTAGGACATTTGGAGCATTAACTACTAGAGCTTTTGATACTCTGTCTACCAACGTGTCCTTGTACCAAGAAGGATCTCTTTTCATGTCTCGTTGCCTTACCAAGTCACCGATGAACACGCAGTTATTTTCCAAGGAGTCTCTTTCTGGAACACCAAGGACTAACGTTTCTACATTACCACATATCTCTTCCAATAGTTTTGCCTTCGGAGGTATAAAGTGCGAAATTGGTACCTTTCTTTCAGCTAGAAACTCTTTAATTTCTTGGTATCTTTCTTTCGGCTCTTCCTCCTCCCAAAAGCCAACTGCTTCTAATACTATGTTAAAGTCCTCGAGGTCACTGTCACTTTCAAGCTCCGGTCCTTTCTCCTGAAGAGTCACCCGGGTTATTTCAGAAACACTTCCAGCTCTGATTTGGTTGTTAAACAGTGTAACAACCAAACTTCCACCGACCATCACTCCTGCGGCAATGACTCCGGCTATAGCTACTTCACGTATGCCAGTTACTATTGTATCCCTTCTCAACTGTTGGTAGAACTGTGTCGATGCCGTTAAGTCTACTACTGGTAGAGCAGTTCTCCTGCACCCACCAAGCACTTCAGGGTATTT